TACCTGGTTAAAGCACAGACTGCGTCACACACCCAGTGATCTATCCAGAGACAAGGACTGCAGGGTACATTCCAAATACCACAGATGGAATCCTCAGACTTGTCTAAAGGAATCCCTTGATGCTCAACCTTTAATGCGTTGTTTTTTACATGGTGTTCTGTGTGCTCAGTGTTGTGCTTTTAAAAGTAGTATTAAAAACAACTGGAAATACACCTTATATTTGTATTTATTTCTTATTCCATACTTACATGTCCTATTTTTTCCTCCACAAATCATTCCTTTCTAAATAAATTAATTAACCCACAGGACAAAAAATTCCACCTGATTTTTGTAGAAAATCATAAGCTATTTCTAAAACATACATGAAAACTCAATGGACCCCACATAGCCAAAAACCATATTGAAAAAGAAAAAAGCTAACAGTGTGACACTTGCCAATTTGAAAAGAATTCTTGGAAGGATTCTATTTTATTTTCAGAGAGAGTGGAAGGCAGGGAGAAAGAGGATTAGAAGCATCAATTGTGGTTGCCTCTGGCTGGCCCCCTTTGGGGTCCTGGGCTGCAACTCAAACGTGTGCCTTGATTGGGAATCCAACCCTAGACCCTCTGGTTCACAGGCCAGTACTGGACCTACCAGTCAGGCCTAAAAGGCTGTGCTATATTTTCAAAAATGCTTAAGACACAGTGACAGTCCATATTTTCCTCACGAGCCTTGCAGTTTTCAAAAGGAATGTCATGCATAAGTGTCTACCAGTATATCTAACAACAATAAATTATTTGAAAATAATTAGTGCTGCTTAATGAGCTTTTCACCTTCTTCTGGTATTTGGTACCTCATTCATACTATTGTATCTATAGGAACAGGCTTGGGGGCAGCAAAAGTAAACCAATCTAATTGCTACAGGAATCATACAGACAGAATGTAACTAGCTCTCCCCACTCTTTCAATTCCTTAGTGTGTCCCCTTTGTGATCTTAGCCACCCTCCTATTTTCACCTCTACCTATCCTTTGGCCTAGCACATCTTCATTCTCATCAAATACTTAAGAGTCCACAAAATGCTAAGCCTATTACTAATTTCTTGCAGTTCCCTGGGTGTATGATGCTGCTGCCACTTCTTACCTTTGGCACTGGATTTTTTTTTATCTAAACAGCTACTCCTCTTATTCCTCTAGTTTATGAAAGCCAATGTTCCAATTAAGATACAAGGGGATCCTTCTTAGGGAAATTTCCCTTACCCCTCAGAGTCTAAAGCCCTTCCTCTATTTTCTTTTAGTACCTTCTATATTTTTACCAGAGCCATTATGTCCTGCTTTGTATTTTGAGCTTCATTTAAACAGAAACCTTCCCTGTTCTATTCATTACACTGGTAGTGGCCTCAGTGCCAGGCTCACCGCATGTCTTCAAATGGTCTCGATGTTATTATCTATTTTTCCTCAACATACAATATGCTCCTTGGTGGTGGGCCTGTGATTAAATTTACCCTTTAGCAGTTAGCACTTAGCATAAGACAAGTCCATAGAAATTGTGACATATATATTAGCCTCTGCATTACCATTCATCTTTTAAAATGTAGGTATCTGAAATATAAAGTATCTTCACATCACAGAAAGATGGGGTTCTAGGGACCGTTCTTGTTTTGTTTCATAGGTAGAAAAAAATAGACACGAGAGACCTGAGACCACAGACTACAAATGCCAAGTTGTACAGCTGTGCTTTATGCTCTTATTCTCACCCTTAACCTACCAATAGGAAAACTAGAATGAATTCTTAAAGGAGTAACCTTCAAATAATCAGCTATAAATTTATCAACAACCACAAAGAAATTGGGATTTCTACTTAAGTCAAATTCTATGGGTAAATAATACCTAAGTTCCCTCATTCTTGGGGTGGTGTCTTTCTGACACAAATTTACCATTCACCAAAGACAAATTGTGATCAATATACAAAAATTAGGTGTAATTCCTTACATATCTGAAACTGAAGTTACAAAAACAAATCCTCTCACAATGGCATAGAGAGGAATAAAATATTTGGAATGAATTTAATCAAAACACACTAAAAGGAATTAAAGATGTTCTGCATGAATGGAAAGACATCCTATGTTCATGGACTGAAAGACTTAATACTGTTAAGATGCCAGTAGCCTCCAAATGAGAGTTACAGACTCAATGGGCCCAAAGGCAGTGCTCAAAAATGGTGGTGTGTCAGAGGTAATGCAATAGGCCTCAGGGGAGTGTGCTGTTCAGGTGCTGGACAAGGACAACATAGAGAAGGACCCTGGGCCCGATGGGCAGGAGTTTGACAGGAAGTACAACCCCACCAGGTACCTAGGGGGCAACTCTGATGGTTTTGTGACAAAGAAACCAAAGACTTCATCTGCTTCTGCCTGGGCCAAAGGGCATTCTTGTGTTCCTACGTGGTTAAAGCAGGCTGCGTCACTCACCCAGTGATTTATCCAGAGATAAGGACTGCAGGACACATTCCAAATACCACAGATGAAATCCTCAGACTTGCCTAAAGGTAGCCCTTGATCCTTAACCTTTAATGCGTTGTTTTCCACATGGTGTTTTGTGTGCTCAGTGTTGTGTTTATATAACAATTAGCAAAACAGATTAAATTTGTATTTATTTTCTATTCCATACTTCTGTGCCTATTTTTTGCTCCTCAAAATCCATTCCTAAAAAAAATCCATTCCTTTCCAAAATAAATAAATATATCTTTTGGAGAAACTATCCCAACAAGCTCTTTTGGAGAAAATGGTAAGCTATTCCTGAAATTCATATGAAAACTCAGGGGCCCGATATAGCCAAAAACCATAGTGAAAAAGAAGAAAACTCATAATGTCACCCTTCCCAACTTTAAAATTTACTACAAAGCTGAAGTCTTCGTAGCATGGTAATGTTATGAGGAGAAATGTGAGCCAATGGAATAGAATGAAGAATTCAGAAACAAACCCAGACATCTACGGTCAACTGGTTTTCAACCAGCGTGCCTAAACAGTTCAATAAGGATCACTTTTTAAAATACAAATAATACTAAAATACTGGATATGCACATGCTAAAAACGAAGTTAGCCCTCAACTTCAGTGCACATGAAAAAAATAATTCCAAATGGACCCAAGTCATAAATGAGCTAAAACTATAAAACTCTTAGAAAAAAACATAGGTGTAAACCTGCATGATAGTGGATTAAGTAATGGTTTTATAGATGTGACACTTGAAGCACAATCTAAATAAAATACAGCAAGTAGATTTCATCAAATGAAAAAACTTTCCATGAAAAGGACACCATCGAAAAAGTGAAAAGACAACCCACAGAATGGGAGAATATATTTGCAAATCAAGTTCCTTATCACTGTCTGATAAGGAACTTGTAGTAGAATATATAAAGAACCCAACTTTGATCTGGCCAGTTAAACTGGCATAATCAGGTCTTTACCTATAGTTTCCTTTCTTATGGGAGATAGTCAACTTTGTAATAAACCTTACTAAGAGGACCTCAGTACCAGTGAAGGTAACTTCCAGAAAAACTGTTGTTAGGATTCTTTCTCTCTGATTCATTTGCTCACAATCCAGTAGAATACTTAGGACTGTAGGTTCCATTACTATTAATGTGTTGGCCTTCTCTTTAATTACTTGGCTATGCAGGTCATGAGTGCTTTGATCTAAAGAGAGACAAATTATTCCTTAACATTGGCAGGTACTTGCAAACTAAGGAGAAGGAGCTTATCTCAGAATGCTCGTACAGAAGAGGCCACCATGGTAATGTCATATTTAACTCTAACATACTTATTGAATATAGCAACTAAGAGAATCAAATGCCAAAGACACACACAGTTAATTTGATCACATAACTACATATATAGCAAAAAAATCGACTTAATATTTTACTGTTTCCTTGAGGGAATAAATGTGTTTTCAATATCTTTGTGATTACCTCATGGAAACCATTCTTTTGATTTAAGGAAAAAATTTTAAGATTTTATTTTACTTTTTAGAGAGAGGGTAATGAAGGAGAAAGAGAGGGAGAGACACATTGATGTGCAAGGGAAACATCGACGGTTGCCTCTCACTGCCTCTTGCAGGCCCCTAACTGGGAACCAGGCCCACAGCCCAGGTGTGTGCTCTGACTGGGAATCAAACCTCCAACCTTTCAGTTTGCAGGCCAGCACTCAATCCACTGAGCCGAATCAGCCAGGAAAGGAAATTTGGTTCTAGCCTAACTAAACCGGTAACTCACAAATGTAATTGTTACTAAGAAAATAAGTAACAAATAAGCAAAAACTGGTGGTTAAAAACCCATTAAAAACATATTTCACTTGTAAATCAAATATGTAAATCAAACATATTTCACTTGTCATCCAATACTTCTTATGGCTCTAAAAATACTCATCCAAATCTTTGAAATATTTTCTAGTGAGATTAGACTTCATATGAAACTTCCCAGAGAATACTGATATATCTACTTTTGCTGACATACAGAACTAAAACTCTGAGAATTGGTTTAAAAGTTTTATTGTATATAAATCAGAAATACTCTAGTAGAGAGAAAAATTAACCAAAATGGTTAGGTACTGTTTTATAAAAATAAATGCTGTCAATTAATGCCTACAGTGTGTGATTTAGCATGTTATTTATGGTTCTACAATGGTAAAATCATCTATTTTCTTCAGTCTATGTTATGGCTGTTGGAATTTATCTTGAACTCTTTCTTATAATTCTCTATTAAATGGCTCCACAATTTTCATTCAAATTTTGCTTCTCTTCCTATAATCCTGAATTGATAGTAATCACAGGAAGGAGAACCAACATAAAAACCAGGATGTCTATTTTCAAATGGCAAAATCAATACTACCTAGGCATATTCTTTAGGGTTTAGAGATTGAAGTTGTTTCAGTGCTGTTTCCACAGAATTAAAGTATATTTGCTCAAAATAGTTTTCAAAATTCTTTGCTGATCTATGAAATGCTTTAAAATAAACCTCTTTGTCTCCTTATCAGAGCTATGTGAAACTTGGAACATTATGGGAGTGAGGGGTAAGTACAGTTACAATTTACCCATAATTTTTTGGTGGTAATTGGAGAGGGGGTTGGGGTCCAGAAGTAGTTCTTTTAAAAGACCCCTCAGATTAAATAAATTCTGACATTTACCACTTTGGACTTGAAAAATTATACCTTGCTTTATATATATTATAATAATAAGCTTGAAAACACAGTAATACAGTATGTGAATGTTATTTTAAAATATATTTCTTTTGTTCTACTTTAATTACACAAGTATTAACTAATAAACAGCTTTAAATTTCCAACAATCATCCGTATACATAAAATTTTTTAAATGTTTAAATGTTTTTCTACTCTTTGTGTGAATGGTTTTGTTCTTTGGGAGTATGAGGAACTTATTATAACGAAGTATGTGACACTGTTGTATTTTTCTTTTAAAGTTCTATACAAATCACTCAGTAGAGCTGTGTAATTATTTACCAATGGAACTTAATACCTAACTCTAGGTCAGTATATTTAGGTTCAATTAAATTACACTGCTAGCATTTCAAATAGTGGCAATTGATTGTGGAAATTCCTAGGAAAAATATAAAAGGAGATAAATAAGAACTACACAGAATATCAAAAGCCAGTATTATGCCTTGGCCAGGTGGCTCAGTTGCTATGACAGCACAGTCCCATGCACCAGAAAGGTTGTGGATTCGATGGGTCAGGACGCAGACCGAGGTTGTGGGTTTGGTCCCCAGTTGGGGTGCATACAGGAGGCAACCAATCCATGTTTCTCTCTCACATTGATGTTTCCCTTTCTCTCCCTTCCTCTCTCTCGAAAATCAATAATCATATCCTTGGCTGAGGAATTTTTTTAAAGTCAGGATTACAACATAAATTTTTCTGAGGTTTCTGTAATTTCTCTTGTTCTAATTAACTCCATGTTATGGTATTCTTGGGGTTAACATGAAGGTCATTATGAAAATCAAACACCACCCCAATACATGGTGGCATGTGTATACGCACTGCATTCCAGGAGCGAGGAATGGAAGCAGTCACCCCTGACACAGGCGACAGAGAATACATTGTTTGCAGAGTATTTAAAAATGATGAAACTTAGGAAAAGTCGTCTGCTTTTTATTTTCAGGATCAAACTAAACAACAACAGTGAAAAAATACTCCTCCCTGTAGGGCAGAGTCTCCCACCGCTCCACCCTTTGAACACTATTGCCCGTATGAGTTCAAAAATACAACATAACCAATGCATTTGAGATATTTATTGTGTAGAAGAATGTTATCGATACTAATGAAGGCAACTGCAGCCTGTAATAACCTTAATTGTAGAATGTATATAATGAATATTTCTTAAAATTCCAGTGAGGTTGAGAGAGGAATTGTGGACATGAGCTTACAGATATTATACACATTGAGCATTCAAATATTGATAATCCAGTGTTTTAAAAACTCTCAAGTATATGCCTGAGGAAGTAACTGTAAGAGCAAAACATGTCACATTTGCATTCAGTGCATGAGAATCTATAGAACCAAATTCCCACGAAGGATGTGACTCCTTAGAAATTCATTCTAAGACAGTGTAAGACCTTTATTTATTTATTTTTTTCATAATAGACACCCATCCTTAAGTAAGGATTTATCACTTTATTGTACTGGACTAATGCAATATTCCAATCATGTTCACATTATTGAAGCCCATGTGTATTTTAGCTGACTCCTTGGAGCCTGAGTTCATAAAGATATGAAGAATTGTAGAACAAAAAAAAAACCATCAGCAAAAGAAAATAAACATTAAAGCACAAAAGCACCTGCACTGATGTTCTTACTGCCCACAGTTTCCCATACTTATGAAATTCTCCGACACTTTACCTGTAACACTGTGGAGTTAGGGAAGGAACTAGTGCTTTTCACATGCAAACGTTTTCTTTCAAATGCTCTGGTACAGGTGAAACCCATAATGAACAACAACAAAAAAGAAAATGATAAGCATTTTATATACATGCAAAAAGGCAAACACAATGACCAACGGTTTAAAGAAATACAAAGTAAAATTTATTAGTAGTATATGTAAAAAAATAATTTTACTTGCCTTGGGCAAATGCCTTAATTTTTCTTTCCTTTGTGGGGGGACTAACTAAATTAGAATGACAAGAAGTTCACTTCCAGGATATATTATTCAGGATATTACTTTGTGTATTTGTATATGTATATGAATGATACATGCTTAACTGGAAGGAAAAAACTGTACCTCTGTTATTTATAAGTCAGTTCACATTTGCAATATCAAATCTAATCATTGTTTGTTGGATATAAATTTTGTTGTCTATAAGAAAAGAAACACATTTGCACATTTCAGAAAACGTGTTTGTATTTTCACAGGTAAAACAAATATGTGTCAATTTCTTGGACAAGCAGAATTCCAGTGTTAGAACACATTCTTAAATGAATCATTTCTAAATTACTACTTAATCTTATAAGGAATTTACAATTGGGAACTTCATTAATAAATATGTATTTATTAATAAATATATAATTGCTGTGCTTTGTTAAGGCACTGGCATTTGGCCATTATATATTTATATTCACATTATGTGTGATATACGTTAAATATATATCATACAAACCAAAGGCAAAAAGGTAAACTCACTTAAAGCCATAATCTGACTTCAAATATCCCTGTTAATTCATTGTAAATTCATTGTCTGAAGCAGTTTCTCATTGGGCCAAGGTTATAAACTGCAGTTCAGCCTCCAGGTAAGTCCACAGAAGTCTATTAACCCATAATTTAAATGAATTTTAGTACCATGTTTAAGAGATACGGAAACTACTCACCAATTTAGGAGTTTGTTTTGGTTTGGTTTTCTTTTTCTATAGGAGCTGGTTTTTAGCTGTGGGACCAAGGGATCCTACTCCAACAGTCTGGGTCTTAGGAAGGACTGTCAGGGTCAACAGCAACCGAGAAAAGGACAAAAGGAAAACTAGTAGCAACATCAGATAAAAAATGGAGTCTTCAAGGAGGTAGGTGACTAATTGAGTAGGTCCATAGTAAGGGTGGTTTTGCTACTGCCCCACCCAAACATTAATTAATTTAAGAAACAACTTTATTTTATAAGTGAAAGTTTCAAAAAGTAAAAAAAATAACGTAAGTGAAAAAATCTTACAAAATACCTCTCTGGTCATTACAAGGAGATGTTTTCTGTGATTGAAAAATATGGTGCCAAAGTACAAACTGGATTATGTTGGGCAAATCAATGTTTAGTTCTTGATTCCAAACAAAGTTTATATTATATAATAAGGTTTAGACCAAAAAAGTTTGAAGAAAAGTTTTCATTTACATATACACAGCCCTGATGTAGTCTGGCCTATGTAGAAAGCCTACCTGCGCTTACACAGAAAAATCTTCTGGCTAGACTTCAAGCTTTACAGGTACACGCCAAGTGATCAGGTTATCTTTTCCTTGAAATGTTAGAATGCTGTAGTGTTATTCTATTATTGTTTCCTTGTTCCATAGAACTGCACCCATTTCTCCCATTTTTAGTAGCACAGAAAGATGTTGAATAGACAGGGCTGGAGAGAAATGAAAACTTATATTTCATAATATTAGCAAACAATAATTTAACATTCTAAAAACAATTCCAGAAAAAGAATAGAGGCTGTGTTTAAAAAATCAAGACTGGTCATTCAACCTCTGTGGGCTCTGAGGACCATAAATTAATCCACAAACCTCTAGTTGCCTCAGCCCACAGACTGCGTTTGGCCACACATCTTCAGTTGTGCCAATACACGTGCAGGTGTTTCTCCCTCTGACATCAGCAATACTTAACAGGATCTTTTAAAATAACGAAAATATACTTGCATTTGGAACAAGAATAACTTATAAGATATAATTATTGTCTTATAATATACTTATATAATACCCTACATTTATATTATAACATACATTTGATGTATATTTGTTTATTATTCTACTCTTAGTCTTGTTCTTCAAATATGCCTGGAAGAGAATTTTAGACAGATTTGTAAGTGAAAATATCTAAATGTTCAATTACTTTATAGTACTGGAAAATGTGTTTGGATACTATGAAAAAGCAAATTAAAACTCTCCAAATATACTGTAGAAGATTACATATATGTATCACACAAAAGGAGTAGGGATTCCTTCCTCTTCTTCTTCCTTTTTCTTGAGGGAAGAGCTAGCGAGCTTAAGCTTTAATTAACAGGTTAGAAAAAGGCATTTTACACATATAATAAATTAAAAGTTCTGTTAGTAACTACTAAGTGTTTAAGTCACTAGGTTTCCTAGCCACTTCAATGGAATCAGCAGTCATAGATCCAGCCTCGACTCCAAGGCTGGACCGTCGTAATGAGAGTTCCAGGGCAGAAATTTGACGTAACTCTTTGCGGCACAGCTTTACAGGCATGACACTATGGAGCTGTCTCACATTTCCCGTTGGCTGAATTTGGGATGATAGTTGACTGTGAGGTTTTAGAAACTGATTTTCCTCCATTTCTGTTTTATCCTCATTGCTTAACAAATGCCCACTAGTGGGTGCTAAAGAGCTATAAATCGGAGGTAATTCTGGGCCATCTTCCCAGAGCTTCTGAGGATTTGGTTGTGTCCTTGAGCTGCTTGCTGAACTGTCTAATTCTCTTTCCCTTCCACTTAATTTCATACTTTCAGTTCTAGATGCCCATTTTAATTCTTCTGAAACTGTGCCTGCTTCTTCTGTATTCAGGACTCCATCACCAGCATCATGATCTAATAATCCAAAAAGAAAAAAATTTAAATATTTCCTCAAAAGCAGGTATTTTAGTCATAATAGCCTAACATAATTTTATTATTATTACACAATATAAATTCTTTCAGCTTTTTTTTTTGTTAAATGACTTCTTAGACAAATAGAAAGTAGGTATGAATTATTCTTATTTTACTTTGAGGCATCTTGCATATGAATAACTGAGAACTTTTCATTCCTGGAACAAAGTTGAGAAATAGCCTGCTAGTAATTTTGGCACTCCCTGGAAACACAGGAGTGCACTGACTGGGCCTCCCTGGTGCCCTTCCACACCTGCCCTCCACTGAGCTTTCCACTGGTGACCACATCCAAATCCTGGCTAAAGTAAAGCCATTGCTGGTGAATACTGTCTCTGCCCCTCCCTCCAGTGACTCTTCCAGGCTTTGGCATTACATGTGTGAAAATATAGTCTTGGTTAGTGCTCCCAGCATGACAGGGGTATGCTGCTCTCTGAACATACTCTGGGGTTCTATTAGAACAGAGATGGGAGCATAGGTCCTCAGTGGGGGATACCCTGCTGGAACACAGCTTTGAGGTCCTCAAATCATAGAATCATCTAATAGCAAAGACAAAAACTTGCTTAAGGGAAGTCCACATAGGTATTGGACCTATTATAATAAAAAATGCCAACTTTAACATATGTTGACACATGATTAGTACATTCTGGTCCTTTGAATACCAAGTTTAAACACAGAGGTTGCACAATGGCAGCTCCCAAGCCAAATCTGGCCCACAGACAGTTTTTACTTAGCATATAAAATAATGTATGATCCAGCCCTGGTCAGTGTGGCTCAGTTGGTTGGACCATTGCCCTGTAACCAAAAGGTTGCAGGTTTGATTCCCAGTCAGGGCACATGTTTGTGTTGTGGGTTTGATCCCTGGTCTGGACACTTACAGGAGGCAGCCAATCATGTTTCTCTCTCTCCCTTCTCAAAGCAATGAAAAAAATGTCCTTGGGTAATGATAAAAAAATAAATATAATAAAATTAAAATTAAAAAATAATACATGACCCAAATTAAAAAATTGTACAGTTTCATATAAAGATATAGACTTCCAACACTTCTAGGAAAAAAGGGAACTGATAGTTTCTGCCTGGCGACAGCCACTGGAGCAGAGCTGCCCGCCCACCCAGACACGCTGCAGGCGCCACTGCCCACTTGGATTCCCGGCTCCTGCAGTCATGTTAGTAGTTTGTGACCCCTGGGTTAATTATTTTCTAGCTTTTAAAATTCTCTCACAAAAAACCCTGAACTAGCAATGACACTGATCCTCACATAGAGCTAGCAGATCCTCACAAAGCTGTCCACAGACAGTGGCTCCCAAGGTGGGCTTCACAGTAGAATCAATAGGAATCCTTTAAAAAATCTTGATGCCCAGGCCACAGTGCGACATGTGGGACAGCTCAGATGGGCTCACTAGAGAAGCTCACTCACAAGCCCACTTAGATTCATAGAAAGTTACCCTCTTCCAGAATTTTACCATTTGGGAACAAATTAGAGAAACATTCATTTGCCCAAGGTCACAAAGCTACAAAAATAAGAAATTAGGATTCCAACCTAGGTCTTCTGACTCTAATACTCCTCGCACAGAGTTTTATAGTGATTTGAATTGATACGAGGATATGGATTTTAAATACTTAAATAAGTGCATAGACTATGTGTCCATATAAACTGGTTTTATCCTCACAAAATATGTTGGAAAACAGATGTACTATACAAGGCATGACCAAGAAGTAACTATAGTATTTTGGTCAAAAGATTAATTTTCATGTCCTTGAAAATGCTAAAAATAATCAAAGAAGATGAATATAAGTCTGATAGGCAGACAATGAAAAGACTACTATCAAAAACCAATGAACTCAATACAAGACAGTTATGTATTAACTAGGGTATTGATTATTAAGCACACAGTACTTTTTAGGCAACTCAGAATTATAAATTGCCATATTTTATAATTCAAACAAATCTTGTTTAATGTCATTATATTAGAGTAACATTTTGAGATAGGATATGATACAAGCTATATCCCTAATATGATTCCAACTGCATTTTTTTTTAAATCATGGGGGAAATACTAACCAGATTTATACTAAATGTTAATAGTTCTAGGTAGAATTATGGGTGATTTTTTTCTGTATTTTAAAATTCTTCTATAATGACTATATATCATTTTTTATAGCAAAAAAAGTATTTAAGATGTTTCTAGGTAGAAGAGTGAACTAGCTGAAATAATATCTTCAACATTTTTATCAAGACTACCTCTCCCAAGAAAGTTGGTCAGATGGGAGTAATTATTACTTTATACAATTCCAATATTATTTAACTTAGAGGTTTTTATGTTTGTCTCTTTAAAAAGCAGGATGAGGATCCAAGTTCTTAAATCTGTATTCCACCATGCCACATGGTCATTCTAAGAGATGTCTAGTAGATACAAATATGGGCCATTTAAACACCAGCTATCTAATGTGAGATATCTCAAATTTGAAAGTGGCCTTAAGCTAAAATGACCTTATGCTGATTGTTCTGTTTCCTATTGAACATCTTTTTACATTTAATATTTCATAGGTAGTGTTTCAAATAAAAGGTTCAGCTATATACTGCAAGGAGTTTTCAAGTAAATGTTTTAATTATATTAGTAAGTACCTCTGCAATACAACATTGAGAAGTTTAGTCTCTTTGGCCAGATTTGTGTGTTTGCATCACTTCTCTATCCTGAGACAACTTTTATCATAGAATACTGCACCAGGAGTCAGAAAATGAAGGACCTTAGACCACATTCCTATTACTGTTCTATGAGTCACTTGTCCTCTGTAAGTTTCAAGTCCTTCCTCTAAAAATAGGGTCAGCAGACATTGGCCTACCTTGAGTTTGAGGGTTAAATGGAACTACTTGTGAAAATATGTGCAAAGTGTAAATATCATAAACATAAGGTAGCATTAGAACTACTTTTCTTTTTTTTAAGATTTTATTTATTTATTGTTTTTTAGAGAGATAAGGGAGGGAGAAAGAGAGGGAGAGACACTGACCAGTTGCATCTCTCATGCCCCCAACTGGGGACATGGCTTGCAACCCAGGCATGTGCCCTGATTGGGAATTGAACCAACGACCTTTCAGTTTGCAGGCCCGCACTCAGTCCACTAAGCCACACCAGTCAGGGCTAGAACTACTTCTCTAAAATATTACTGAGTTTTAAATTTAAAAACTATGTTAATTCTGCCTGCA